CACTGAGGTTACTCTGCTCTGCAGTGTTGGGACAGCAACCATGGCAACCATGACAACTCAGCCATGGCTGCTCCTGCTCTGGTTCCTTCTTGTGGTATCTCTGCCCATGCCCTTGGGAGTTAAGCTTGGCCTTCTAGTTTGTCTTGGCACTATTGGTGTTCATGCAGTACCAAAGAGAAACTGGGACAACTACAAAATGATCATTTTAGAAGTCACTCCTCCAGTCTAGTGGTGGCATCTGTTCCTTCACTCAGACATTGCTCTGCATGGTGTGAGTTTCGTCTGTGGGTTTGTGCTTTAGTCTCTTTGAAGCACACCCTCTTCTGCAGCTGGAGAGCCTTTGGCATCTCCCATGTCTTAAAGTTGTCCTCACTGCTCATCCTTCATCATCCTCATCATCTTGGGCCGCCCAGCACGAGAAAGATGTGGACCTGTTAGAGGAAAGGAGGGGTGTGAAGATGGTCAACTGGGAGGGCTGGAGCCCTTCTGCTCTGTAGACAGGCTGGAAGAGCTCATGCTGTTCGACCTGGAGAAGAGAAGGCTCTGGGGAGACCTTAGAGCTTCTTCCAGTGCTAAAGGAGCTCCAAGAGAGCTGGAGAGGGACTTTGAACAAGGGTCCAAAGTGACAGGACAAGGGGCAATGGCTTCCCATTGCCAGAGGGAGGGTTAGATGGTATACTGGGAAAGAATTCTTCCCTGTGAGGGTGGGGAGACCCTGGCACAAGTTGTCCAGAGAAGCTGTGGCTGCCCCATCCCTGGAAGTGTTGAAGGCCAGGTTGGATGGGGCTTGGAGCAACCTGGTCTAGTGGAAGGTGTCCCTGCCCATGACACAGGAGGGAACTGGATTTGCTTTAAAGTCCCTTCCAACCCAAACTAGTCTGTGATTTCATGATCCTTCTCTGCCTGCTCAGAAGGAGTGAACACAGACCCTTCCCTCTCTTGGTTATGCTGCCCTGTGCACACATGTAGGAAGCAGTTTCCAGACTCAGGTTGCTCCTCCCCTTCTGTTTCATACAGTACTCCAGCTCTTGACTTGTTTTGCTTTTCCCCAGATTTATCTGCCTCTCGCCTGCAAAAGGCCAAGGAGGTGGGGGCAGATTTTACCATTCAGGTGAAGAACGAGACCCCTCAGGAGGTGGCCTCCAAAGTGGAAGGTGTGCTTGGGTGCATGCCCGACATCACCGTGGAGTGCACAGGGGTGCAGGCCTGCATCCAGGCTGGCATTTATGTGAGTACCACTTGTCCCCAAAGCAGAGCAGGGATGGCACTGGTCTGGTTTTGTCTGAGATGCTGCAGTGAATGAGTTATTTCACTCTCAGTGTGCTTGATTTCACTGGGCTTGGTGTGGGGAGAGAAGGTGCTCATTAGACAGCAAAAGAAGAGAAGCAATTAAAGAGTTGATGTTGGCATGGGGATAATTGATAATTAATTTGATGCTCAGGTGCTAAACCACTTCCCAAAGAGACCTCAATAAGACCCCAATACCCAACATGGCTGTGCAGCAGTGTCAGGCAGCTGGTACGAGCAGGACATCACCTTCTGTTAAGTTGAAGTTACATCCAAATAAGGAGAATAATCAAGAAAATTAATTCCAGAAGGTGAAGGAAGTAGTTAAGGAAGTGATATTTTGCTGCCATGAACATATTAAGAAGAGGATGGGGTGAAGGTAGTGGGGAGTTTCACAGGGAAAAACAAGGAGGGGAATGGGACAAGTGGCAAAAAGAGAAATTCCAGTGAAGCACCAGGCTTAGTTTTAAATCTTTCCTATTGAAATCCCAAAGCACTCTTTGTAGTCCTAAATGCCAGCCATTTTTCAGAATGAGATTTAGATACCAGAATCCTTTGGAGATTTTCAAAAGATTGCATTTTTAACCTTGAGTACTGTGTGTTTCACTCTTACAGGCTCCTGACAGCATCTTGCCTGTCCCCTGGCTTCCCCATCATTCACTGCAGCCGCAAAGTGTGCCTTTATTTTTGACAGACCCTGCACAGGCTCCAGCAGCTGCATTCTGCAAAGTGTAATGTGTTTGTGTTTTTGCTCTCCAGGCCACTCGTTCTGGTGGGACCTTGGTGCTGGTGGGGCTGGGGCCTGAGATGGTGACGGTGCCCATTGTGAATGCTGCCGTGCGGGAGGTGGATATCCGGGGGATATTCCGCTACTGCAACACGTGAGTCTCATGCAGGGGAGGGCTCATGTGTCTCCAAGCCCATCTTTAGAATTATTCAGAGCTATAGTTTCTTACCAGTGGAGCAAGAATCTTTGCTTGATCTGTAGCTCTCCGTGAAGGACTTATGGGATGTTGTCAAGCTCCATCTTAAAATGAGAAATGTCTTTAAGTAGGTAATTTGGGAATTAGATTAGGTACTGCACCCCTTTGTATCCCTATTGCTCTAACTTGGCCCATTCCTAGTTGGACTCCATGACTGTGGTTGGACTTGATGATCTTTGGAGGTCTTTTCCAACCTCAATGATTTTATGATTCTAAGTGGAGCAGCAATGCAATCCAATTGAAGAGGCTGGAAGCTGAATGAGGCTTTTCCTTTCCTCTCCTGCACTGAGTCCATGAGTTTGAGCTCCACAGTGGTCAGTGTGCAGGCAAAGAGGCCAGGTGAGGGGAGAGCGGAGCATGAAAGTTTGGTTTTCATTTGATGCTTCCATAGAAGTTGTTTAATTGATTTTCACTTGCTTCCTACTCAGCCAACTGTCTAGGAAGCAGAGCCTGCCTCCTCAGTACTCAACAGCCCAGCTCAGTTGGCTTGTCCTATCTCCCATGCTGGGTGCTTGAGATTCACTCTCCAGAAGATCCTTTGCAGGCAAAAGTCCCCTTGGCTGCCTGGGCTAAGGAAATAGCTGCAATGAATCAGGCTCCTCCCTGCTCTTTCCTTGGGCTCCAAAGCAGTGCTTGCTCTCATCCCCTGCTGTTTCCCTTGCAGGTGGCCCGTGGCCATCGCTCTGCTCGCATCCAAGCGGATCAACATCAAGCCCTTGGTTACGCACCGCTTCCCCCTGGAGAAGGCTCTGGAGGCGTTTGAGACCACCAAGAGGGGTGAGGGGGTCAAAGTCATGCTGAAGTGTGACCCCACTGACCAGAGTCCCTGAGCTTCTGCAGTGCCCAGCCCTCACCCCACTGCACCAGCCTGCCTGGGACGTGCAGGATGAGGCTGTAGGAAGGAGGCTGATGTGGGGCTGCCGTGTGTTTGCAGTCACCTTGCACAGCTGCTTCTTGTACCTAGAAAATCAAACGGTGATGAGGGTGGGTGGCACTGGGATTCACCATTAGAGCACTAACAGGTAGCTATGAATGGACAATCAGTAGTTTGAATCAAAATGTTGGGTTAGAAATGAGGGTTTTCACAGTTGGCTCTTTTCCAGTAGCCCCTCAGCAGAGCCTGGTCTGATGCCTCTGTGCTGGGGGAGGTGCTGGCACTCCACCTTCCCACCCTGCACTGCCCTGAGTGCAGCCCTTCCTGCATGACAATCCCTGGATGTGAGATAGCCCTGTGTGAATATTCCCCCTTCCACTTGCACCTTCCCTCAGGGATGCTCAGGGATTGTACAGCCTGTGGAACAAAGCCTGGCCATCCCCCCTCCATGGGAAGCATCAGCACATTCAGGTCATTCTCTCCATGCTCTTTGCAAATATCCCAAAGCTCAGAGCCCAGGGTTTTTGTGAAGCTGGTCTAGAGGCCAGCTGGGACCACATCTGCTGTGTCACCCCACAGCAGCTCCTTGTGGGACCACTTCAGGCTGGGAAACTGGGACTGCTGAGGGCCTTGTCCTTATGTGGTTCCCAGGGAGGGGCTGCTGTTGGAGGATACAGCTGCTTTTAGCATGGAGGGAAGCACAGGGGAGCTGTAAGGGGACAGCATCATTCAAAGGTTTTACCACTGTGAACAAATCATAATTTTTTGGGAATATTGAGCCTTCCTGCTGAGTTTGTGAGCCATGAACGAGGCACTAATGAGGTAGCAGGTTGCAGATAAAATCTAATCTTTGATTACAGTCATGTTAATTTTACTACTGAGAGATCAGTTCCTTCCTTGGGCCGGTACTGAACTTTCCTCAATAAATTCTACCTACCTGAGACCTACCTAGTGTGTCCCTTAAAGTGTGGGGTGACAGTGTTGGAGGAGTTTCTGACTTCGGGCCTTGGTGACTGTGCAGACCTGGGCCTTGCCAGGCTGCAGGTTGAGCTTGGTGTTGGCAAGACTGTGAGACCTCAAATGACCCAAAAACTTGCAAATCAAAGCTTATGTTTATTCCAGAGGTGGCCAAGTTAATCCTGGCAGAAGTGGAAGCCCCCAACTCCATGCTGAGTTTTACAGGGATGATACATAATCCAGGGGAACTTTCTGTAACCAGAAGGAGAAGTGGCCAAAGTATGTGCTCAGCACATTCCAGTGCTGGGGAGATCCCCACTGACATGGCTGGGGGACCACTGGCCATCCTGACTCCCATGCTGGAGGGAGCCCCATAGTCAGCCTGGGGGACAAGTGGCCATCACAACACCCTGTTATTACTGGGAAATGGAAGCTTGCTCCCTGTGCTCTTGGGAGACTGTTTAACATCTGGAGGGCTGGAGCTATTCCCACGGCTCAGCCTGTTTGGACTCCTTGGCTAATTGGCTCCCATGCCTGGTCTTGCTGGGGTCATGGCCACTGCAGGGGTATTGTGGGGTGTGATGGGTCTGGGGAGGCACAGTCTGGGGGGCTGTGTCTGTATCCCCCACCTCTGACCCCACGTACGTCACGGGTGCAGGGGACACTCGCTCCAGTTTAACCCATTTCCCAGTGAGCTGGAGTTAATGCTCTGTGCCGGGAGCAAGGCCAGCACTATGCCATGAGTATGGCAAACCTCCAGGGGACCAAGAACCAACTACAAGAGGCAAGAAAGTGTTTTAGTACTTTGAACAGCTTTATTTAAGCTCAACCACAGCCTGCAAGAGAGGCAGCGATGCAAAGCCAGGCATTACTTAAAAAAGCACAAGTGATCCCTGATCGAAGGGACGCTGCTGAAAGAAGCCGATGCAAACACAACTAAGGCCCTTTGCAAACCCAGAAAAGGCTCAGAGAGTTAACAAGCAGGCACCCACAAGTGTATTAGGAAAGCTGAGCCTTTTTCAAGGAGAGAGATGGTGGGAAGCTCTTTGGCTCCTCACCCCATGTGTGCTCCACATTGGTCTTGGGGCAAAGTGCTGTGGATTCAGGTTGTGCAGGCACCAAGGTGTTCCCCAAAGCTGGGCAGAGACATTCCCTGAGTCCCACAGCAGAGCACAAGCTCTGTGTTGTGGGATTAATGTAGCAGAACTGGGCTTAACTCAAACACTGTGGTTTTTTGACTGGGACATGCCAGCCCAAGCCTGGGTATGGGGCTGCAGCAGTGTGTGGACAGTATTAGTATGCCCTGGGCTCAGGGGTTCACACTGGGGCTGTGTGGGGTGATGATGGGATGGCAATGCTTTACTGGCACACCAGTCTCAGCTCTGCAGGTCTCAGTGTCCTCTGCCATGGATGGCTTTCTCTGGGGCGTGATGGTGAGTGGGAGCCCAGGACCATGGCCACCCACTGCATTGCTGCCCAGGTGCTGGGATGGACCAGACTGCAGCCCAGGGTGAAAAGCATGGGGTAGGGTCAGAAATTCTCATAGTGATGTGCGAAGTAGGTCTGGTCCTTCTTGTTCATCTGCCGACAAGCCTGTTCCACACTCTTTGTCATCCCGGGTGGGCCACAGCTGAACACCCCAATCTTCTGCACCTGGGAGGGGGGAAGCCAAAGGGGTCAGACCCAGGAACACCAGCTCTCCCTGCAGTCCAGCCCCCCTCGATCCCTTGCCCTCTAACAGCTTTGGGCATGGACCATGGCTGTGCTCTCTGTCCCAGCCTCTGGAGGCTTTTGGGGAGACTGTCATTTCTGTGAGGACTGTTAAATCTGGTGGCTGTGGAGGCTGTGAGGGCAGTGGAGGAAGGATGGGAGCCCCAAGACCTGTTTGCAGCCCGGGTCCTGCAATAGCAGGGGGTGTTTGGCTAGCATGGGGAAACTGCTGACTCTTGCAGCTCAACCTGGCTCCAGAGGGAAAGCAGGATCCATGCCCCTTCTGCCCTGTCCTTGGTGCAGATCCCACCAAGCTCTCCAGGACCTTGGGGACAAGCTGGGACAAGTCCTCCACTGGCCAGTGCATGCACCTCCTCCTGTGCCCTGTCCCCAGCCAGACACTGACCTCAGGGTGCACCTCCTGCAGTGAGTTGAAGAAGGGTACAAAGGGAGGGCGCCCAAAGTGGGTGATGGAGCGCAGCCCCGTGAACAGGCTCTTGTTCAGCACCTTCTGGAAGTGCCGCTCACAGATGTACTGGAAGAAAGATCGGTGCATGTCAGATGGCCCTGCACGGCCTGGCATGGCCTGGCACGGCACAGCAGCCTCTCCAGTGGGGGGGCAAGGCTCACCAGCATGGTGGTGCGCAGATCGAACTTCTCGGCCAGCTGCGTGATGTAGATGTGCACAGAGACCAAGTTGTTCCTGTCTGACTCTTCCACCTCCCGGATGATGTCTGTCAGCCACTCAAACTGCCGCTGCGTGCGTGTCACCCAGATGAAGTAGATCTGTGGCCCATGAGGATGAGGTTCAGAGTGGGGCCAGCACCCTTATGCAAGTCCGTGGGCTCCCTGGAGGATTTTACCTCCAAAGAGGCCAGAAGCAGCAGGAAGCATCTTGGGAGGGCTTGTCTTTCAGATGCTTCCTCTTACCTTCTTACACAGCAGCTTGGAGTTTATGGATGACTTAAAGACCAGGTCCTTGAGGATGGATGCGAAGGGTGTCACCCCAATGCCTCCTCCCACCAGCACTGACACCTCAAATTTGTTCCACTCCTGGTGGCCCTCTCCGAAGGGCCCGTCCAGGTAGAGCTGGAAGGGAGTCAGCCATTAGCAGAGCATCTCCCATCTCTGCTTGCCCAGGTCTTGGTTGTCCTCAGGGCTGGAGAAGCACCTCAGGCTTGGCACAACCCCTTGCTGAGATGCTCTTGGGCTCAGATGTCCCTGTGCAGGGCTCACCTTGGGCAGCTTGCCGATGAGGGCCAGGCTCTCTGGGGAGTAGAGCTCCCGCAGGCGAGTGGTCCAGGGCCCCACGGCACGGATGTGCAGGCTCAGCGTGTCCTCGTGTGGTGCCGAGGTGAGGGTGAAGGGGTGGTACTCTGTGGTGCCCAGGGCCACGCAGGCGATGCGCACCCACTGCCCGGACTTGTAGTCAAAATCCTGGGGCCGCTGGAACTGGAGGTGGGTGACACCTGTGGGGAGATGGGGATGGTGGCTCTGGTAAGGTGGAGATGTTGAGAGGTGGAGGCTCCTGCATCGCTGCAACCCCTGATGCTCTTGCAAAGAGCCTGGGGTGGGCTGGTGCCCTGTGGCCAGGGATGTCGTGGTACCTGAGGGCAGGAGTTCGGCTTTCACCACGCTGATCTCCACCTTCTTCCTGCTCAGGCTGAGCAGCTTGTCCGCGCTGTAGATGAGAGCTGGGACGATGAAGTAGATGTAGAAACGAGGCTGCTGGATCAGCGCGTAGCTGCCGTGGATGATGACCTGGGCAGGGAGCAGAACCCATTAACAGGGCAAGCCATTGCCCCAGGGCTAATCTAGTGGCAGCTCAGCAGCAGCAGGGAAGCAGGAGTGGGACCACCAGCTCCCTTGCAACCGTCCCATCTATTCGATCTCATCAGCTGCACTGACTCAAGCCACAAGCTTGCAGTGCACTGGCACCACCCCTCCCTCCCAGCCCAAATCCTTTACCAGGACATAGAGCAGCACATAGAGGTGGTGGGTGATCCAGAAGCCCTGGAAGCTGACGCGTCGGAAGTGGTAGGTGGCGAACACATACATCACAGCAAGGACCACAAGCAGCAACACTCCTGTCATACCTGTGAGAAGAAAGGTTGGAAGGTCCTAGGGGGAACAAAGCAGTTCCATAGGGGCTCTCCCTGGGCTGAACAGAGAGCTGCCCATCCACACAAAGGTGTGCAGGTCTATCTGCTAGGTGTTCTCACCTGGAACAGTCTGGAAGAACCACCAGTAATACTTCTGTGGGAGCTGTGACCTGGAGAGAGACAAGAGATTGCACGATGGAGTGACCAGAATGAACTCTTGGTTTCCATTTTCATTCCTATCTGTGCCCAGGACACTCTGTCTGGCCTCTGCTCTAAATCCCACCTACCCATCATTTGTGAAGACATTGGAGAAGAGACAGGACAGCACGCTGAGAGGTGTGACTGAGAAGATATAGACATTCACTACATGACCTGCAGTGTGGAGCACTGTGAGAGACAAAAATAGGGAGAAAGAAGCATCACTTGATGTGGATGGAGATGTGTCAGACCCTGTTGATGTCCCCAGAGACCCGGAGATTCCTCCTTGTCTCTAGTGCAAGGCATCTACGTCTCCACAGGGTCTTCAAGCTTCTGCCTGGTCCTGCCATGGTGTGATGGGCTGGCCCTTTAGCTGTGGTTTGTGGGCGGCACATCCCCCAGCAGCCCACTCACCTGAGAAAATCAGGGCTGCCATGGCAATCCAGCGGTGGAAATCGACAGCGGCATCGAAGGGGATGTAGTGGTTGAGGAAGGTCTCCCGCAGGATGGTGATGAGGTTGCGGCACATGGTAAGCAGGATGTAGGAGTACAGGAAGGAGATGGAGGCAGCTGCTCCCCGGGAGATGATGATCCCCACAAAGGTGGTCTGTGCAATTCCAGTGCTGGGGGATGCAAAGGCATAGTCTAGGGAGAGAGAGCAGAGGTAGTCAGTGTCCCCAGCCACGACCTTTCTTGCAACAAGGGGGCGACCACCTTTGTGGCTTCACCAAAAAGAGATTCCCAGGGATAAGTCTGTGTGGGAAAAGGGGCATGACCCCCCAGAACTGCTGAGTGAAAGGGTATCCTTGGAGATCCAGGGAGGGGATTGTCCTCCTCTAGTGGGCACTGGGAAACTGCACTTTGGAAACTGTGGCCTCAGTTGGGGAATCCAATATAAGAGGTCTCCACAAACTGAAATAGAGTCCAGTGGAGGCCACTAGGATGGGTGAAGGCTGAAGGATGTCATTTTAGGGGAAAGGCTGAGGGAAATGGGTTTGTTCAGGTTGGAGGAGATGGGTCAGGGAAGACCTGGTGGCTGTCTGCAACCACTTCACGGGTGTACAGAGGTGGGAGAGCCAAAGTTGTTCTGAGAGATGCACAGTGGAAGGATGTGAGGCAACAGCACGAGTTTCACAGGAAAAAGCTCAGGTTTGATGTAAAATAAAAACTCTTCACAGGGAGGATGGTCAAAAACTACTACAGGCCCAGTGAGGTGGTGGGATCACCAGCCTTGGAGCTCTTTGCACCTTCTTTAGACAAGGCCTTCAGCAGCCTGATTCAGCTTTGGAAATGGCCTTGCTCTAAGCAGGGCATTGGACCAGACCGCTCCAGAGGTTCCTTCCAACCTCAGTGACCCTTTGGTTATTCCAGGGGAGGAGTGACACTGTTGCCCAAAGCTGTGCCAGGCAATGCCCCACCACACCCAGCACAACCAGCAGCTTTGAGGCACCAAGTCTGTGTGGGGGGCAGCGGGGCTGGGTGGGCACTCACAGTAGGCTCTCTCCATGAACACGCCGGCGGTGATGGCAGAGAAGAGGATGACGCAGACGATGTGGCGCCGGTAATTCTCAATGAAGCGTTTGAACTCCTGGATCTTCTGCTGAACTCGGCTCCGCTTGTACCTCTTCCGCTGCGCCTCAGTGTACAGGCGCAGCTGGTACTGGTTCCCCCTGGCAAAGACAGGAGGGCTGGTGTCACTGCGGGGTTTCCCCAGCTCAGGGCCACGCTGCCCAGATTTGGGGCTGCCTCCCCAAAGTGCTGTGGCCACCTCTGCACATCAGTGATGGGGTGACCTGCAGAGCGCAAGTCAGAGGGTGATCTCAGGTCAGCCTTACAAGCCTTAATGGTTGTAAAACCTGATAACAAATGTGTAAACAGTGACTCATAAATAAAACCATAGATAAGAACTGCCAGAGATAATTTTCATAGTAATAATCAACTGTCCAAATGATTCTGCAGAGGACCAATTTCCTTAATTGGAGCAATTATGGCAAACCAAGATATTGTTGCCAGCAGTAAAAACAACTGAACTGATTTCTTGCAGAAATACTTGCTGCTGCCACAGCAGCAAGGACCAGAGTCTCTCCTGCAGCTCTTGCAGAGAGCCCAGGTGACCCAGCAGCATCCCAAGGGATGGAGGAGCACAGGTAGGAACTGTCAGACAAGACCCCTCTCTAAAAACCACTATCCCAGGCTTTGGAGTTGGCCACTTCATTTTTTTTTTTTTTTGTAGAGGCACATCACGCAGACCCAGCTATGACACTGTCCCTGCCAAGTTGGGGCTGTTCCTGTAGCTCCTTGGCCAGCGGGAGCCTCCTTGCAGCAGTGCCATTTGACTGGAGGGCTGCCCAGTCTGACTAGGGCACGTGAGAAACAGCAAACAGGCTGAACCTGAACCCCAGAAGCACCACCATAGAGAGGCTGTACTCACTTTCTACCTGGTCTCTTCCTCAGCTCTTGCCCTTCTCGTTCCACGTAGTGACTCACGGTGTCCAGATTCGGGTCTCTCTCCTCCTCTGAGATGGTTCTGTTGGAAATAGAGCTATGTCTAGCCCAAAGCCCTATTTGCAGGAAAGGCTTGGCAAAATTATCCCCTTTTCCCTGCTTCCCACCTCAGGCTCAGCTGGGAAGGTGTCCAGCTCTTTCCCATAAATCTGTTTGTTAACTTTAATTGCACGTGGGCTGGATTTGCTTCAACATAACCCTTCCCTCTGAAAAGCAAGGCAGGACTCCCACCCCCATGTAGGGGATGCAACAGGGACTCTGCAGGGGGCAGTTCCTCCCCTTTGGCTGTACCCAGGGAGGAGGGCAGCAGCCCCACCCCGGTGCCTGGTGTGCACCTCCCACCAGGGTCAAACCCCTTCCCCAGCACTGGAAGTGCCAACACCTGGTGGGAGCATTTGTTGGAAGGACTGGGGATATGCATTGGGGCAGAAAGAGGAGGAATAGCAGAAACAAGACCAAGGAGGGGGGCTTACCCTTTTGGCTCTTTCTTTATGAAGGAGACACAGTTGTGCAGGTTTTGCTTGAACACCTCAGGGACACCTTTGAGGAGCAAAAGGACAAGCAGCCATTCAGAGTATGAAAGACAAGGATTAGGATTCTCCCATGGGCAGGCAGAAGCTCTGAGCTGACCCAAACGTTGCACATGAAGCAACAGCTGGTGCCCCATTACTGCAGTTGGGTTGGAGGGATTGATGGGACAGGATTTGGGAGTTCCAGTGGGTGCTGCCCATTTCCTCCCGCCCTGAGGGGGCCTGGGGTGACCCAGTGCTCGTGCCCACTGACCTTTCACACAGAGGTGGGTGAGACGAAGCTCGCTGTTGTGGTCCCGCAGCATGTAGTGGAAATTCTCCCACGTCAGCTCATCCCTGTCCTGAAACCCTGAGGCCCGAAACATGGACTCAGTCACCTGCTCTGCCTGTTCTCTTGACAGGCAGTTGTTGGAGATCTCAATGAAGGACCTGGAGCAAGTAGGGGAGACGGGAACATCAGTTAATCAGTTCAAATAACATGGCAGAGTTATGTGGGAGTGGTTGTGAGTGTTGAGCCCATGAGCTTCTTAGGGACTGAATCACAGAAACTGGGACCTGCTTTTGAAGACGTGTGTGTCTATTGATATTGTGAAAACATATCAAGAGAGGAGAAGTACCTGACCATCCTCAGAAACTCCTCCTTGGAGAGGAACCCATTCTCATCGATGTCATACATCCTGAACATCACCTGGGATTTCTCCTCTGGGGACCCTAGTGGGGAGAGAGAGAGGTGAAGTAAGAAAAAGATCACATTTTCATTAACAAAGATGCTTTCAAACACTGTCTTTGAGCACATGGACCTGCAGCAGTGAAGTCTCACCCTTCCACTGACTTTCTCAAGTGCAAGGTGAATCATTGGGTAGATATACGTTCTTGGGCATTATTTTGAGAAGTCAAAATGTGCTTTTACACAGCAATGATTTTCTGGAAGATGTTTTGATTGAATCTGACATTTAACGCCTCCATCTATGAATCCAGCTTTCTGGTGGTCATTTAGGGAGATTCAGGTGTCAAATATAGTTACTATGATCTCTCAAGGACGGGATGTGTGGTCCCTTCAGGAGACAGGGCAAATGTGTCTGTGGTGGTGGAAAGTATCTCCCCTCATTAACAGTCTTCCAGAAAACACAATTACATGGTCACTGCCTCATAACTCAAGTTGAGCTTGTCCTAAGTGAAGGGAATTTTAATCTGTAGCAGTGTCTGCAGACTGACCTGCTGGATGGACCTTGTCCTTCACTCTGTCAGAGCTTAGAGATGGGACTAAGGATAACAGATGGAGTCACCAACCAGCCCCAGCTCCCACCTTTCATGAAGACCACCAAGATGTCCAGGAACTCCCGGAAGGAGATGTAGCCGTTGCCATCTTTGTCAGCCAGGGAGAACATGGAGTCCACAAACATGGAGTGGGCCTTGAGCCCCAGGGCCTCGGCAAACTCAGCCCTGCTCAGCTCACACGTCAGAGACTCCCTTGCCTTCTGTGAAGATTTGAAGTTGAGCTCTCCTGCATCGGACCTGTCAATTTCCAGCACCTGCAGGTTGTGTCCCACAAAAGAAATACTGTGAGTACCGGTTCTTGTTTACTTCCTGACCTATTGCACAGAGACTGGTGGCTTCCCTGGCACAAAACTCATGACAAATACCATGGGGAAAGTCCCGTATCTCTCCTACACAATGTGACTTTCACACTGCATACCCCTGACCATTCAGTTACATCATCCAAAAGCCTCTTTGCAACTTTAGACGCTTATATCACTGCAGCAGATCTCCTTTGTCTTCCGTAAAGGAAAATGTCCCTTGGTCCTGGAAGTGTTAGCAGCTTCCTTGTATGTGGCTTACCAGCTCTTATGGAGAGCAACAGCACCAGCATTCATTGCTTAATCAGTACAGAAATACCTTCTTCCAGGCACCAGAGCCTGCCACACCTCTACACACCTGAGCAAACAGGTGCCTGAAGAAAATCTCCAGAATTTGTTTTCTCTGCTCCTGAGTGACTGCCCATTTCATAAGGTTCTGCTCCTTCGTCTCAGACAGATGCAGGTAGAGCCCGTTCTCATTCAAGTAGTTTTGTAGCTTTTCAACAAAGCTGCTCCTCTCGGCCTCCTCGCAGAAGAGCAGCACCTGCAAAGGACCCCACCGATTGGCTATGATCATCAGAGGCTCAGCTCATGGTATGAGCTGGACCTGGTGGTTTTCAGGAGGCCACAGCCATCCTTCAAGGACGTACACTGTTCCCAGTGCCCTGACCGAGTGGTGCAGAGGACTGTGGAGGGTCTAGAGAAAGGTGAAATACCCCAGGCACCATGGTACTCACCAGGTCATACTCCTTGGGGCTCTTCAGGAGCAGAGCTTTGTTCCCTTTGTTGTTGGAGAGGATCACCTCCACCCTTTGGTAGGCTTTCAGGTTGATGCTCCGCATCAGAGACCCTCTTCCATCCAGCACTTTGAGCACTTTGTCAGCTTGGAGCTGGATGTAGACAGGACAGCTGTCTGTCTTGGGGCCGTGCCACTCCATGGCTGATGGGAGAGAGCACAGGACTCAGCTGGAAAGGGGCACCCAGGCTCCTACTCATGCCAGCACCTCCTTCACCCAAATGCAGTTTGGGAGAGATTTCACCACCAGGCACATCTTAAAGGAATAATGATGATCTCCCAACTGCACAGCTCAAGCACACGGCCACAGGAGGAGTACAAACTACAGAGCAGGGAGGCAGGATTTTTCCAGTACCCAGAGCAAGGAGATACAGTCCCTGTCCTGGAGCTACTGGTGCAATTGCTTTACATGGGTTTCCTTCAGGCAAGGTGTTAGAGGGTCATATGATGACTCAGGTTGGAGGGGACTCGGGTTGGAAGGGTCCCTTGCCCAATCTCCTGCCCAAAGTAGGACCAGCCACAGGTCAGTCTGCTCAAGGATTTATCTGGTCAGGTCTTGGATAGGATGGGCTACCAAGCCCTCTGGGCTCCCTGCTCCACTGCTTGACCATCCTAGGGAAACAGTTCCTCCTTACATCCCATCTGGATATAAGCCCCAGCCCAGCCCTGCCTCATTGTGTGCCCTGACTCCAGCAGCATCACCAGACACTGTCACAGGGTTGGCAGTGCCACCTCACCGTGTGTGGCCTCGCCGGTCACCTTCGCGCGCACTCTGGTGCTCTGCTGCTTCTGCAGCTTCTTGAAATCTCTCTTGCGGAAAGCAGCAACGATCCAGGCAACAAAGAGAGTCACTGGGGACACACAGGAGAAGGAGATGTGAGATATCACAAAGCTCCTTCCCACTTTTGGCTCCCTCCTGGTGCCCAAGGACCCTGCCAGCTCAAGGACCAAGGGAGCGACCAGGACTCAGCAGCTCCTGCTGGGAGGTGCTTGGTCCATGGGCACTCAGCCCTTTTCTCTGGTGGAGAGGTGGAAGAGAATAAGGATAAGGAAATGGAGACAAACCCAAAGGCAGACAGCAGAGGACAACGATGATGATCCCAAAGCCTGCACCGCTGCCTGCAAAGTAGTCCAGCACCACCATGGGAGTGCAGTTGGCCAAGTGTTGAGCTGTCAGCTGCTGGGGCTGGGGGCACTGGTCCCCTGCAAGGGGGAGACAGCCTGTGAGTGTCACCAACCTTTTACCCATCTCACCTCCATCACCCCCAGGAACCTCTGTGCTAAAGTGTGAATGGGGCTCATGGCTGAGTCACCCAGGGAGCCCTTCAAAATTGGGATGCTTGAGTTAAACTCCAGACACTGGGTAGAGCCTTTGGTTTTGGGTTGAACCTTTGCCTGCCACAACAAACCAAGTGCAGAACTGGACTCAAGAGCTCTGTGAGTTCAGCACCATCACTCCCCCAACGGGATGGTCTGAGCAAGAAGCACCCTGGACCATGGAAAATTTGGGCTCAGAGCCTCTGCTCATCCAGACAGTGCAAATCCAGGGAGTTCTCCTGGTGCAATTACATGGAGTGCATACCAAGGAAACAAAAACACCTTACAAGGGCTGGAACACGACCCAGATGAAATGCTTACAGTAAATGGGAGGGGTGTGGCAAGACTCCGAGAGGAAAAGGCATATTGCCAAACAGAGTACCATGCCATGGTCTAGTAACCATGGTGGTGTTGGATCAAGGGTTGGACTTGATGATCTCAGAGGTCTTTTCCAACCCACTTGATTCTATGATTCTATGCCTTTTCACCTTGGGGTCATGCCTGGACTTCAGTCCTCTTTCACATCTGCATCACTGCATCAATGTCTTGCTCACAAGCAACCCTTGCATTTTGTACCCATTTTGCTGGCTTAGGGTCACATCAGGCAACAACCCCAATGTGTTCCCAGTGTCACTGAGTCACTCACTGGCTCTGTCACCAGGATGGCTCTGCTTCCCTCACTGCCTTGCTGGAGCCATTTGCTCCTGCACTCACCCTTTCTCCAGGTGAACACGTGAGTCTGGATGTCTGTGGAGTTGGCGTAGGTGACAGCAGCCAGGACGTCGTGAAAGGTAGTGTTACGGATTTCCTTGATTTCCTCCTCTGTGAAGAGCCTGTGGAAAAGGACATGGGGACAAGGGGTGGCCCTGGGTGTTACTGCCCAGCAACAGGAGGGAACTGAGAAAGCTGGAGGATGCTTTTTCCTTCAGCTCCAGTTTCCCTGCACTACTGGGGCTTGCAGAGCAGTGGGCAGCAGCCAGATAGGGAAGAGGCCTTTACCCATTCTTGGTGTTTTCGAACCAAAACCTGTCACTGTCACGCAGGCGTACAAACTGCTCCAGGATGATGGTGCTGAAGAGGGAGCCATCAGCCTCCAACATGCCTCCAGGGAGCAGCTCCAGCCCAGCCATGTCATTGGCATACAGGGCAGCGACCTTTTGCAGGACCTGGTGAGAAACACCCACCGCACACGTGTGAGCATCGGGAATTCTGCCAGGGCACCAGAAAGTCTTGGCAGGCCTCAGGAGAAGCAAGGGATGTGCATTTCCCAGGCATCACACATCTGTGGGCTGGGAAGGTGCTGAGCCCCACACAGCCTGGAGCTCATGGCTTGGACTTGAATAACTAAGCATCACTTCCAGGGCATCTCAGCTCTGGGAGGAGCATGGTGCCCAGTGGCACAGGAGCTTAGCACCAGGGCAGGATGATTTATTCATGCCATGTAATTACACAGTTATCCCAATGCAACAACTCTACAGGCATGGAAGTCAGATAGGGCAGAGCATGCATTTCCTCTTCCTATTATGCTGCAGAATTCAGTTCCTGCCTGGAATGTCCCAACATTCTCTGACCCACATACATTCGGTGCCCAGGCCACCTCCCTGTTACCTGTGGCTCCAGGTGTGGTGCAAGGTTTGACCAGTTCTGGAGAGGTTTCAACCCAAATCGCTCCTGGGCTTGGTTATAGGTTGGCAGGCCAAGGTCTCGCCCACGCTGGATCCAGCTGGCCACATAGTCAGTGCGGGAGTACTTCAGGGGCCCATACCAGTAATCTGTGTGTGGATTTGAAGCCATGGTGATGGTAAGGCCGAACCAGAGGAGCTATAGCTGCTGGGCTGGCCTTGTGCCTCTGCCTTGGGCTGTGCTGAACACAGATATCATCTCCACACCCTTGCCAAAATGGTCCCATGGACATGCTTAACACATCCTGTGGCTTCTCTGCACCTCCATTAACAAGGCTGAAGCTGAAGCATTGTTTGGTTGGGTGCTGCTGATGATGACAATGGGACTCACTCCCTGCACAGCCTCAGGAGTGAGGGTCCCCCATTGATGAGCAGCTGCAGTACAGACCTTGGAGATCTTCCACGACAATGTTGTCCTCCCTCTCTGCAATCTGTGAGCTCATCCCCAGCAGGAGGTTGTCCACATCCTCTGCCTGCTGCAGCCCTGGCCTCTGAGGGGAGATGAGAAGAACAGGTGATTCCTTAAATGATCAAGGATGGCAGGTAGCCCCATACACCCCACAGGGGTGCAGATCCTGGATGTAGGGGGATCAGGGAATTCTTCCAGGCTCATTTCCTCTACGTCAGCTCAACCTTGAGGTCTGAGCCTGACGCAGCTGAAGGAGGCATCTGGGGATGCTGGATGGGGAGGATCTCACACCCTGGGCTGACTGTCATGCTCTGCACCTAATTTCCTTTGTGGCGTCCTCCATAAAATAGAGCCCCTTCCCAGCCAGCCTCCCACATCCTCAGGAATCCTGCAATCCCTTTCCTGTACCTCTCTGCTCCAGTAGCTGTTGCAGAGCCGCACTGCTGGGAATGAGCCACTAGGGCCAGACACGTTCTGGAACCGGCATTCGCTGTCTCTGGAAGAGCAGAGAAGGGCTGGACCTACAGCCCTAGCCACAGCTGCCCAGGGCTGACAGGGGTTGCCTGTCCAAGCCAAGAGCAGGACATGGGAAGGGGCAGGCACCATCGCCAGCTACCACCCCAGCTTGGGCATCCCCTTCCCTGGCAGGGGCACTGCATTCCCACAGCCCTGCCAGGCTGCTCCTACCTCTTATAAATGCCCGGTGGCACCATGGTGGCCAGGAATTGCGCCGCAGCTGCCACGAACTCTGGCGAGAGGCTGGGGTCCAGGTGCTGCTGGTAACCTGGGAGGCAGCAGCCAGACTGGAGGAGAAAGGGGCCAAGCTCCCTCTCCCACCTCATCCCCCACCTCCCCGGTCCCCCCCCCCCTCCTTCTCACACTCTATTTCCTGTCGTACTCCTCACCTTTGTACTCTGGGATGTCTGACCCCAGCAGGGTCGGCAGCCACTCGTACAGAACGATGCTCTAGGGAACAGAGGGGCTGGGTCAGGGCCAACACCAGGGAGGATGTTGGGGGTCCCAGCAGAGCTGGGGGGGGGGTCCCACCCCTCACCTGGAAAGTGGCAATGACCCTCTTGCGAGTGTGCTGGAAGAGATCCTCATCAGACCAGGTGGGGTGCTGCTGGGCCAGCGCTGTGGCCAGGTGGTTGTGGTACCGAAACCAGGCGATGCTCTCAGCCTGCAGGAAGGGGTTCTCATTTCCCCAGGCGCTTCCCAGGTCTGCAAGAGCCACCAGGACCTTCAGTGGGGGATGTCACCACTGGGTCTAGCTTTGCCCATGGCTGAAGAAGCACTCCCAACTCTGTGGCTGCAGCCCAGTGTCCCCTCATCTCCTCACCCTTCCTCCCTCCCCAGGGAGACCAGGAGCCTGAGCGAGTGAGTAGCAGGACTGGCCCCCCAGCATGGGTCAAAGGTTGGGCAGGTGAGGAACTCAAAGCAAGCTGAGCAGGTTTGTATCAGCGGCAACCCCTTTCCCCAGAGGAGATCTCCTGGGATCAGAGTGACCCGCACCTGCTAGTTTCTGACCTGTTGCCTCCTGGGCATGTGGCATCTGGAGTTTATGGGGTGTCCTTGCTGGGATGTCTTCACTGGGGCACACACCTTCTTCCCCTTGGGCTGGGAAGCCGCCTGCTCTCCCACAGCCCTCCTGACCCACATGTCCTCTCCCGCTGTACCCCCCGCCCTTTCACTCTGGGCTCAGCTCCAGGGACCTCCTGCTCACAGTCAGGGATGGATAAAACAGGTGAAAAAACATTGGGAATACCACCATTACCATAGATGCCTTCGAGACCACCCTGTCCCGTGGATGGATCGATCGCCTTCCACATGGGGACCCTCCCGTCTGTCTGCCTCGGGAGGTGTCTGACAGGCCCCGACGCCAACTGTCCCCCCGAGAAGCTCCTCAGGGCGTCGCTCCAGGAATGCGAGGGGCCGTAGATGGAGCTGCCGTCCAGCCAGCCCGTCACCCCGTTGGTCTAGGGCAGGCAGAGGGAACAGGCGTTAACAGGTGCCGGGGTTTCAGCAGAAAGGTGCAAAAAAGAGGTGTGAAAAGCCCCAGCCTGGCTTTTTTGTTCTTGCAAAGCAGCCGCCCCATCCCCTGTTTTAACAAGAGCTCTCAGGATGCAAACACAACAATCTCTCTGCACACTTCAGGAATTAGTGCAAGGTACCAGAAAAGACAAGGTCCAGACTTTTCATAAGTACATTTTGGGGTTTTTTTCCCCAGTTATTTTTGCTATACCAGAAGCAAACATCCGTGAATCCCTGTGTGTGCTGGAAGAGGACTAAACCCATCTCTGGGGAAACCGGGAGCAAAAGAGCTGTCTCCTCTGTCCTCGCAGCAGGGAGTCTGGCTGTCCTGGCAGCATGTTGAGTATCTCCTCTGCCAAACGTTTGCATAAAACCATCCTTTTTATTCTGAAAATACGCTGGAGTTTTCATTTTTCTAGGGTTTTAAGTGCTGCTAAAAACATGACTTGCTAAACTGGTCTCATCATGGTTTGTCACGTGAAAGGTTCAGGAGGGTATTTCGCTCCAGTGATTTTGGCTGGGAAGCTTTCCAGCATGAAAGAAATCTTGGGAACACAAACAGCACAGCAAAATTCAGAGAAATTGGGGGAAAACCTGGATTTTTTTCCAAAATTACTGAAATTCAGGGAAGCTTTACAACTTTATATGCAGTGCCGGCTCAGCTTTGTGATATGTTATTAAAGATAAGAGTTCATGCTTAAAACAATCTTGCATGATTAACTGACCTAATTATGTTTTCCTTTTCCAAGGAAAACTTTGACCTCAGGCAACCACCAGTGTCACTCAATGTGAATCTTGGACTTCGTGACTTTGGTTTCATTTCATTGGTTCAAACACTTGAGAGATGTATATTTTTAAGGAAACAGTGGTGCTCTCATCTGAGTTTTGCAAACTCCCTTGGCTGCTGCACCCCCCGATGTTGGGCGAAGGGCAAAGAAAACCACACTTACCTGTTCCCGGGGGCTGTTGGGGCTCTGCCCTGTCTCCACAGCCCAGCGGATGCGCTGGAAGGGCAGGACCACATCTCCAGTGCCAGCAGGGTCAAACACTGGGTCTCCGGGGGGGATGTAGATGTTGAGAAACTCAGCAGGGCAGCCGGGTTTCTCTGTCTCCAGGATGTCCAGGAGCACATGGAAACCTGACAGAGACACAGGCATGGTCAGCAGCCAGGACAGCTGCCACCAGCACCTGGAGCAGGACATGAGGGTGGGCAGCTGAGTTGTAGGTGGGCTGAGGGGACTACCATGTGCAGCAAGAGTGTTCAAGGCCAGGTTGGACAGGGCTTGGAGCAACCTGGTTTAGTGGAACAAGATGACCTTTAAGGTCTCTTACAACTCAAATCATTCTGGGATTCTGCGATTTTCCAGAGACAGGCGTCCCTGGGCTTGGAGACCCAAGACCCCACTGCTCTGACTTGCAGTTCAGGCCAACAATCACTCCCAGCACAGCCTTATCACATCCATCAGGCATTTTGCAATGGGGCAACTCCCCCACTAAAACAAAAGAGGAAGTTCTCAAACAACAAATATCAGTACTTGGGTCAACTGCCAGAGGCCATCGAAAAGCCACTGTCTTCTGACTGGACACTACTTTGGGACGATGGACCCAATGCTTTGTCTTTCCCGTGTAGGCCTGCTCTGGAGGGGTGTGTGAGGAGCGCTCCAACGTGTGACCTTGGGTGTGTGAGAAACCAACATTTTTCCATGCAAACCAGCATTTTTCCAGCTGGTACCAGGCCCCAGGTCTTACCAAAGAAGACAGCCAGCACGGTCGTGTTCCTGAGTGAGGGCAGCCCGGAGGGGCCTCGTGCCACTGCGGTGCTGAGCTGGCGAGCGTTGGGCACACGGGGCTCCTGCAGCGCCTGGTAGACGCCGTCGGCGAAGTTGGCCGGCAGGAGACGCAGCAGCCGAGCACCTGCAGCACCAAAACAACATGGAATGGGCCCAGGTGGTACCCAACAGGAGGCACAGCAAGAGGACACCTGCAAGAATCCCAGGAGAGAGCAGAGGCTGGCATAGATGCTCATAGAGGCAAAGGACATGCAAGCTTTGGTGCCCCCACCCAAAACTTCTTGCAACACTGGGGTCAGTACTCTTAAAACCAGGGAGATCTCCATCTCCCTCTCTTCCAGCTGTCCTTCGCTTGTCCATGTGCATGCCTGTTGCCTCCTGGAGGTCTGGAGTGGTGCTCCAGTGGGCAACTGGAGTGATGTTGAGCTGCCCCATGTTGATTATGCAACCCTACACAAGTGTGGGTTTTGCCAGCACCGTAAGGAATAGGAGAGGGAACAGCCAGAGAAGCAGTAAGACAGATGAGAAGTTAAGAGAGAAACTTTGCACCCACTGCCAGTCCCAAAATTGAAAAGCCCAGAGGCAAGAGGTTGTTTCTCACTGAAGAATGAGTTAATTTTGAACGGCTCCTCACCAGTATGGTGGGTTTCATTTGCTGGAGTTCCCCAGAACTGAGGAAATCCTGAATTCCTGCCTTAGTTTGGGGCTTAGTTCCCATAGGTTGGTTTTGAAAAGTTAAAGTCTGATCTGTCTGCTCTGGAAGAGGGAGATCTGCTCTGCCAGGGACCTGCTGGTTTTCTCTGTCAGGCTTTGGTGTAACCAGAGGATTGGTTTATAACATATCATGTTATAAAGCCATTTGGACTCAAAGGAAGCTGTGCAATTGTATCATCTTATCACCAGATCAGTAACTAATCTGGGCTGCATTAAAGATAATTCAGAATCTTGAATATTTTAGATAAGATCCTGCTTGATCTGCCCTGGTCACTGGCTCAGGGTCATTTCCTAGAGTTGAGACCCTGGCATGAGGAAGCAGTTCACCACTGCCAGAGGGAAATCTCTAATGCCTCACCTAGTACAGACCAATAGATGGTATCTGCCCTGTGCAGGGCAGAAAATTAGTAGGTCCAGGATCCCGGCCCATGAACTCTTCTGCCTCTACCCTTCTGTTGAATCCTGCTTAAACTCCATGCCCATTTTGGCTAAAGATGGCTTTTTGCAGCTCTGGGCTCCCTGACTATCACTGAAACACCTGCTGGGAAGAGTTGCATCCTCCCTGCCTTGGACATTTTGAGCAGCCTCATAAAGGCACAGCTTTTCCATGGGACTGATCCAACCTGCAGATGGTGCCTGGGCAGCAGCTAAAAGTGGCAATGACAGGACATTTGAGACAAACTGCGCTGTCTGTCCCCTCCAGGCTGCTCTAACAGGGCTCTCAGGTGCATCAAGGGACCTCAGGGCCACAGGAAGTGGCATTGCCTGCTCACCTGCCTGGTTCAGGCTGAAGTCAGAAAGGGTTTCTTTTCTCAGCCATAAAGCAACTCAGATGCCAATGTGCCAGCTCCCCTCACCCTGTCCCACTGTCCCCTCCCCAGGCCTGGCACTCACCCACAGAGCCACGGCTGTGGTGCAGAAGGTTGTTGTACCAGCCGTCGTAGCGCTGGACCTCCCAGGTGATGTTCTGGGCTCCTGGAAGAGATCGGATGTACTCAGTGAGCAGTGAAAAAGGAAGTGTGAAATGAACTACACTAAAGAATCATATTTGTATCATGATATTTTCCCATATTCTTTCTGAGATTTTCCATACAAACAGTTTTTTAGACAAGTTTTTCACTCCTTTTGAGGGATAATATCTAAAACTAGAAATTCATGCCTGTGGTCCTGATGTCCCCAGATCAATTTGTGGCCACCACAAGTCTATTCCCAAAGGACCGTCCTCTCCTCCTCTCTCACTGGACCAGAAGAAGTCTCTCCTTATTTCTGACTCCCACAATGTCTGTGTGAGTCAAGGAAAGACCTTGACAATGGAGTTATGCTTGTGTTTCAGGATCAGTTAACTTTTATGTTAATTTTTTTTGCTTTTACTGTAGTACTATCAAGGAGGTGCCACTACTATTTATATATCTAAACTGCAGTAGGGGAGTCTCCCAACCTGCATTTTGATCCATTTCTTCTTATCTCCTCACAAACTGCATCATAAAAACATAGATTACCAGGATGGTTTGGGTTGGGAGGGACCACAAACATCATCTAGTTCCATTTGCCCTGACATGGGCAGGGACACCTTCCACTGGACCAGGTTACTCTGATATGATGCCCCAAGGGATAGAGGAAACTCCCCTGAGGGGCATCAGCTATCCAGCATCTCCCTTTTGGTCCCCTTCTCTGAAACTGTACTTACTCCCCAAGGTCCACGTCCCCAGCAGAACCACAGTCAAACTCAACATCATCTCTGCACGTTGCATTGACCACTGGGTCGTTGGAAGGAGGGACCTGCAATGGGAGAGGAGATGGAAGGAGCTGGAGCTGGGCTGCTCCCAGAAGCTGGGAACACGCACAGGCCAAAATCTCAGCTCCTTATGATTTCTACTGCTTGGTAAAACTCCGCTGCCATCAGCAGCAGCATCTCCCAGCTGTGGGAAGTTGGCAGGGGGCATGTGAGACCCCATCCCCTTGGGGAAGTTCTTTCAGGATGTGTCAGCTGGCCTGAGAAGACCTTTCTGCTGAAGCAGGACCAATGGCCCTTGGAGTACCCCAGCTATAGGCTCTCATATCATCCACATTCAGCTGTGCCAGCTCTGTTACAGAAACACACTCTTTGTTACAAAAATAAGCACATTTCAGCTGGGAATTTCTCTGGTATTGACCCATCCAAGCAAAATCCAGCTGTAAACATGATGGAAGAGCCTCAGCTCACAGTCAGGCATCCCAAAGTGTGCGAGTACTGCATACAGGACCTCTTGATCCCCTCTGAGCTAACCCAACAGCCCTCCCTCATGACCAGCCTCTCTCATGATGCTTTGCCATCTCTTTTTCCACAAAACCCCTGGATCCAGAGCAGATTTCATCAGCGGGACCTGAACCTTTAAAACTCTGACCAACAGCTGACAGAAGAGAGGGATTCCCAGCCCTGATCAGTAAAGTGATTTACAGTTACAAACGAAACAATGCTACTACCGCTGGCTTTCCATGCACAGGAATTCCAAATCTGAATTTAACTCCAAGATGGTTTTCCACTAAATATGGCTCTTTATCTCTGTTCCAGCACTGTGGGTGTGTATCCAAAGACCACCACCATTTCAGAGGAGCTGTGCTGCCAAGAGATGCAGCAATGCACAGGTTTCAGCTTTTCCTACACTGCTCTATTACAAGCCAAAGTGATATTTATACTTTTTTTCATTATTTTAATTAAAACCTAAAGAAAATAGAGCAGCAGCACTGCTGCAGAACTTAGTGTGGTCATACTGGTAGAGGAGAGCAGATCCAAGTCATTCCAGGATCCTGGAGCCTGATCCCTACAGTCCTTGTTAGTCACAGCTAATTTCTGTATCTCCCCAGTGCTGGTGGGACAGACTGGGGAGCTGCCACCTTCCCACACCAGCCAACTGGGTTTCAGAACAGTCTCTATCTCCCCAGCTTTGGATCTCATCCAGAATATGCCAGCCTGCACACAGGAGCCAGTGGTTTCCCCAGCTTTCCCACATGGGGACACCCCTGGGACCAGCTGCCTCAGTGCCACCAGAGTACAGCAGGGACTCCATCCCCCGGTGGAACATAAGGGGTCCCTGCCTGTCCCCGCGGTGTCCTGTGCCCACGCAGGGACACGCACCGCCCCAAATCGCCGAGTCCCGTGCCCCGCTCCCTCGCCGCAGGGACTTGCGTGGCTCCATCGCACCCTGCAGGTGAGGACACGCATGGCCCCATCCCACTCGTCCTCACACAGCACCCAGAGCCCCCCGTCCTCGGGACATGGGTGTGTGGCCCGACCTCTTCTATACGGCCCCATCCCAACATCTCCGCCCAGCAGGAGAAAAGGGGAGTAGCACTCGCCCCTGTCTCCCCCACGAGTGACAACGCGCGTAGACAGAATCCCCCGCAGGCAGCAGCGTGCGTGGCATCGGCTACCGGGTCCCCGCGCGGGGGCAGGGGAGACACGCGCGGTCCCGACCCCCCACTTCCACGCAAGTGGGAACACACGTGGCTCTGATGCCGAGGACCCACCCCACCCACGCAGGCAGGGACACGCGTGGTCCTGGTCTCTCAGACCCCTCACCCCAAGTGGGAACACGCGCGACACTGAATCCCCAACCTCTATGCAAGTGATAACACACGTCCCCCATCCCCCAGTTACCCCAAGCAAGAGGGGACACCCGCGTGCCCAATTCCCCAGGACCCCTTTCCCCACGCAGGCGGCGACACACATGTCCCGACCTCCCCCCCCCGCAGGGGTGACACGAGTGACCCCCATCCCCCAGGACCCCTTTTCCCGTGTCCACCAATCCCTTTTCCCTTGTCCAATCGGAGCCACCCGTGTCCCAATCCCCTCGCCAGCGGGGTCACGGGTGTCCCCGATGCCTCAGGACCCTCGTCCTCACGCAGGAGGTGACATGCGTGTCCTGATCCCCCAAGACCCCTGTCCCGCCTCCGCAGGCGGTGACACGGGCGTCCCTAACACCCGGTACTCCTGTTCCCCATAGGGGGTGACGCGCGTCACCGATCCCCTCGCAGGCGGTGACACGCGTGTCCCCGATCCCCCACGCCCCCCGTCCCCCCACAGGTGGTGACTCGCGTGCCCCCCATCCCCAGTGCCCCTGTCCCCGCGCAGGCGGTGACACGCGTGTCGCGGCGCTCACCTGCGGGCGCCGTGCGGGCAGTGCTGCGGGGCGGGCCGTGCCCCCGGTTACATACGGCCCGCGCCCGCCGCCGCCGCCTATAAGAGCGCCGTGCGGGACGGAGCCGCCCGCGCCCGCCGCCCTCGGCACCAGCAGCAGCAGCAGGAGGTAGGTGGGGGGAAAGGGTGGCCGCCCCTCTCCCGCCGCGGCCCCGCGAGGGGCCCCCGGCACTGCCCGCCCAACTCCGGGGGTCCGGACTCACAGGGATGCTTCCCTCCTGGAATTAACCCTCGGTTTCTCCTATCCCGGTTTGACCCTCTTACAGGGGCAGGAGAGTGCAAGGAAGTCGTCCCCCTCGTCCCGCTTCCCCCCTCGTGGATTGCAGCTCTTATCACTCAGTTTCCAGGGGACAGGATTTCTCTTGTTTCTACGGAAAATGCCGACCTGCAACCCTGAGCAACCCCAGCTCGAATTGCTGCTGGCTCTGCTGGCAGAAGTTTTTGGCTGAGCACTTCCAAAAATTTTTTTTACCTCAATTCATACTGGGGCAAGAAAATAGAGTTTCCGTAAGGAGAAACTTCTGGGGTTTGGGCAAACTTCCTGCTTCCTTTGTCTTTCTCCCCTGCAAGGCCAGAATATTTTAAAAGTCCATTTCTGCTGAATTACTGATTCTTCCTTAAAGATATCTCCTGTCTTTCCTCTCTCCGTACACTGTGACAGAGGAAAACAGGAGTCTCTAGTGCCACAGCCAGGCTTCAGCACGGAGGATGCTTTCCAAGGCTCTAGAGGTTTACTTTCTCCTGCTCTGAGCTACAGGCACCACTTTTCCACTGGAAGCTGCAAAAAATGCCAAGGAACTGGTCTTCTATGCAGGGTAATCAAGAGAGAAAGATTGCGTGGACAGCAAAAAAGTTGTTTCCCTGGAAAAATCTCTATAAAACAAGTCCCAGAAGTTGCAAAGTGAAGAGGAAATGCAAACACTCCTTGGTGTTGATTTAGAGATAAATATAGATTTAACCAGGCAACATTTTCCATGTTACATTCTGGGTTTTAATTGTTTTAAGCTGTGAAGAGTTTTGGTAAATACAGACTTGAAAATCTTTCTTTCCTTTGTTGCATCTCATAGCAAATTTGGGCAAAGATACAGGGAAAACAGTGGAATTCAAGTCATCAAGATTTAACTCATCCAAGGTTTAACTGCTCATTTATTTCTTCTCTGGCAGCAGCTCTGGCTGTTTTGTGGGCACGTTTGCTGGGCTCGGGACCCACAGCTGGACTTCAGTAGCATCAGGAATCAGCTACAGCTCCTGCTTGCCAGGTAATCATGGCAATTGAAAGCTATCATTCTCCAGGCTAATCTTTCCAGAGAAATAACCCAAAGCTATTACAGCAAAATAACTCTAAGGAAGATTTGTAAGAGCATATGACAGCTCTGTTAGTCTGGAGCAGAGTCAAGATAAGGTCAGGTCCAGATCTGTTGTAAAACCTCAGTCTCCATTAAACTCTTTGCTGTAATTATCTGGGTTACTGGATAGAAAATGATTCTGAAACCAAATGCTGCTTTATGCATTGAAAAGTGATTCAACTGCTCAGGCAAACTGTTTTATGATACTTACTGTGATTCCCACCCACTTCTAGCGATTTGGGACTTGCTTTTTTGTGGCTGAGCTGCTCTGAGTTGGATATTACCTTAAAATATGATTAATACTGTTGGCAAAAAAATAAGAATAAAATCAACTGCTCTGTACAGGGACGGAATGAAATGGTGTTTGGTCATGAGTCAGATTAGTTCTGGCATTCCCTGACTTTAGCTGACTTCCCAGGGTAGTTACATGCAGAGAGGTTATTAAATAAGCAAAATAAGAGGACTAAGCATGTAATCAGTTTTGGTAGAAAAGATTTAACCCAGGTACAGAGTGAAGCTGTGTAGTTGCTGGAACTTGAGTGTCGGAGGGTGTTCAAAGTCATCTATAGGAATTACACACCTTGTCATCATATATAATCCGCTTTCCTTTAGCCTTGAGATGTGCTCCCAGTGTCTGTGTGCTCCTTGGACCCATATCCCGGGACTAGGGGTTGCTTCTGGCCCCCCTGGACCAAGTGCAGTTCCCCAGATCAGCAGCTCCTGGGCCAAAGCTTCTTGGAGGAGATGGGTGGGAATGGGAGTAGTGGGCTTTGTTCTGCTTGGCACTGGTGGCCTCTGACTGGGGACAATTTTGCTACTTTGAAATCTATGTTCTCAGTGGTTCCTTGTAATTTTGAAGGATAGCTCCTCTGTGGTAGTCACTGGCTCGGGGACCTCCCCTAAGGGCTCACCACAAAGGGGAAAGCCCCGGCTGCACCTGCTGGAAGGAAAGACCCAGCTCTGTCCGGGCAGGAGCTGCTCAGCAGGTTCCTGCCCTTGGGCTGCTCCTCACACTGCAGCAGAACGGTGGCTTTTTGTTCCTTGGGCTGGTGGAGCCCTGCCCCAGGCACCTCCTCTCCTCCACTGAGGGCTTTTGGGTGGTGCATTCTCTGCTGGGAATTATTTTGCCCGCCTGTTTCCTTGCAGCGTCACATTTCCTTGTCCCTCTGGGGAGCTCTGAGGACCTCCTGCAGCTGGTTAATTGAGCTGGGGTTGGCCACCACGGGCT